AAATTAAGTATTAATAATTAATATTTGTTTGACTGAGTATGATATTTTAGTTAGTCTGTATTATTGTTGTTTACTTTTTTAACTTTTCCTAATTATTAAGAATAACTTACGAAATTAATACATTAATATTGTAACGTTCATTTGTTTAATGCAATAAATATTTTCAAAAAATCATGTAGTTACGTTCTTAATTATATACCTCATGTTAAGTGAAAAAGGCGTATCTGTCAAAATCTGTCAAAAGTGTTGTTTTCCCAAGTTAATGCTCTACCAAAATTTGTCACATGATAGTATAGACCTATTTGTTAACTTCTATATGGTACAAGTCACAACTTTTTAAAAAATCACGATTGCCTAATCAAAACCACTAAAACTGATTTTTCTCGCAAACTAGTTTAAAGCAGATACGCCCTTTTGAGTTAACACGGCAGATTAGGGAATGCACTTGCCCCACGAACCATTGACCATCCCTTAGAAGTGGTAGGTGCACATTTTTATCCCTAAAAAGGCAAAACACTTCCTACCAAGACAGCATACAGTAAGCACGGAACGTCCCTTCTTTTGTGCCTCGGATGGCGTCGCAATGGTCAACGTTACCAATCTACTCCTTTATTATTCTACTATAAAGTCATTTTGTGTACATAAATGTAATTATTTTAAACTTTTTTGCAGGTTATTAATATAGGTCTTAGCAAATAAAATAAGCCACAGATTATTGAGATGCATTCAGTCAGATTATCTAGACCTGCCTTAGAAATTAGCTCATTTTTTCAAAAACCGAAAAAACAAATTAAACTTTGCAAAAACCATTTAACTGATCTGGAATATCTTTTGCACAAAATTCAAGCAGAATAAAACACTCAAGTTCAGGTACACTTAAACAAATTTTAATAACCAATAAAAAAGTTATTAATAATGTTTGAAAACAGTGATTTTGTTGTTCATTTTGCAATAACTTTTTTGTTGATTAATCGATTTTAATTTAGCGTATCTCATTTTATGTATCTTTTTTTTTCAAAAAAGTTGTCTGTTTACGCCAAATCTCTAATAGATCAGTTTTTAATTTATTAGCAAAATAATGAGTTGGACGTTTTGATTTTTTATTTAAACATATTTTGATTAAAAAATTGACGAATCCTTTTTTTTGTGTGTTTTGGCTTGGACAATTGTCATTCAGCCAGTCTCAATCAAGATAAGTTTATTAATGTAGTGTGTGTCTGTGTTTGTGTGTGTAGAGTAATTGTCTTGATACTTAGCAAAGTCGACGTCATTGTCTTTTCTAAGAGACGCTAATTGTATCCGAACGTCTGCGGTACCTCCGGTGTGTACCGATCACACAAGGATAGAAATTATTTTCATTTATTAATTTTTTTAATAAACGAAAATTTCCACCCAGGTGGGATTCGAACTCACGACCTTTAGGTTTAAAGGCAGGCGCTCTTACCACTGAGCCACAGAGGGGGTTAACGAATCCTTAGATGAGAGTATTTTTGTAATATCTCATACTACACATTTCAGCTCAGTGGCGTACTTAGAATTTTCCTGTGAGGGGGGTTTGGTTGGGCACCGAAATTTTATTCATGCTACCTCCATTTTTTTTGAGTCCCTAAAATTTGTAACAGTGTCAGAATAGTGCCCGGGGAGTTCCCCCAAAAACCCCCTAGGTTTGCCACTGTTGCAGCTACATTTGTATTGAGTAAAAACTGAATATATATGGCCTATAAGGGTAAATGAAAAACATTTATATTTGGTTTTTTTCGTTTTAAATGACAATAACTCCAGTAATGGAAGAAAATAATAAACTGTATTTAATAAGTTTCTTTTTAATATTAAACTAATTACTAGGTAATTATTACGTACGAATATTAAAACAGTACGTCACTAGAAAATGTTTCTTTTTATGTATTATTAAAACCCGTTTTGTGTTCAAATTATGCAGTTTCATAAATTTTAAAACGTACAAAGCTGCATATTGTATCGATTTATATGGGGTTGTTATACTCTTCTTGATATTTCTAAAATTACAATGACAGTGAAAGGAAAAAGCAGACACACTGGCATAAAATAAATCATGAGAAAGTTGCATGTGTTCCAGATTGCGTGGAGATAATTTCCATTCAATGCGCCTATTCGTTATCTAATAATATAAATCGTATCAGCTAAATTCTTTATCCGGTTGAAGGAACAAGGAAGAAGCAATTTATAGCCACTCTTTGTTTGTAATGTTGCATTAATCGCCTTCGGGAAATACTTGGGTATTATTCAATTTAAAATTATTTAAAATGCAAAAAAGAACTAACCGATTGTTTAATTCATCATTAGTTATTTATTTATTTATCCCAATAGACTTTAGAGTCGTCATATTATTTATACAATTTAAAATTAAGTATTAAACAGAGTGGACCAAAATTCTGGAAATACCTAATTGGGTCTTAAATGGTTGTTCCGAATGGTATAAAAATCGGGATACGCCTATTCCGCAATATGGGGATTTCTAATGTGATGCTTGCAATTTTGCCATGTTTATCATTTTTCTGATGGCATTGATTTTTTTAAATACAACACTCTGTCTTTTGTATTATTATTGGAACCCTCGTTTCAATAGAAGTTTAACCATTTGTAATACTTGTTGTTTTATCTTGTCATGAAGGTGTTAAATAAATAAAAACTCTTAGTACCAGATAGTTTTAAAGTAATTAAGTGAATATAGAATACTGTGATTTTAATAATAATTCATAAAACTAACTGAAGCTGGCAATTTCACATCAATTAATGTCTACCATTTTGTACGTAGTTTGTAAAGCTCTGATTCAAGTTCTTAAAAAGAAAGTAAAGGTTAGCAACAACTGTTTTATTAAGTATGTATTACTTTTATTTATTAATAACAAAATGACTAATTATCACTAATATCGATAATTGTCATTGAACAAAAAGATAAACGGCTAGGGAAAAGGGAATCTAGCTTACTTTGGTAAGACTACTTTTAGGCAACAAAAATGAAAATTGATGCCACTTTAGCATCAAATGCAGGAGTATTCAAAATCTAAATCATGCCCCACGTTGGGCGCCAAATTGTAACGATTATTTTGCCTACTACATAGGGTATTACTATAAGGGGTTGAAAATTGGGGAGAGAAACTAGAGATAGGGTAAGCAAAGCAAAGCAAAACGTTTGCAAACGGCCACTCAGGGTTTGTTTGGAGAGATGGATCGTGTATAAGTGAATAATAAAGGGACTGAAATGTGGTAACTACCAAAAATGAATTAAAAAGGGTACCCTCATGAATCTCCTAGACAAACAAAACATAAGAAGATTCTCAAGTTATTTAAAATAAGAACGCCGCTTAGAAGAAAGTTTCTACTGGATAAAAGAAAGGCTCCTCCTTCCGAAAAAATACAAAAAGGGAATAAAAACTTTTAAAAGAACTAAATACTCTTTTAAAAAAAAATTACACATTTATTGTTGTTTCACCACAAATAGTTAGAAACATAAATAGTAATTATAAAATACAAAATAACAAAAAACAAACTTGTTACTATGTTACTATTCGTTTACAAACTCTAGAAATTGGAGATACTATAAGAACTTACAATTGTTAATGGGCAACATTTTTTAGCAGAAATAAATTATTACAAATGAAAAATATCTTTTTAGATGGGAATATGCACAAAGGTTAATCGTTTTTTAAAAACCAAAACAAAACAAGATCTCAACTATGATTAGATATGTATCAAATGTCAAAAATAAAACTAGCTGTCAGATGCAAATATTAAATTTTAAAACTTGAGAATAAATAATATGACAACTAAGCTACTCCCTAACATTTACAATTTTACTTATTACAAATTCTTAACCTTTTATGAAAGCAATTATTAATGAAAAAATGTCTATTTTCACTTTAAATTTCAACAAAAAAGTTACCTGAAGTTTACTAAATGTTTTTTTTCTTTAAAATTTCTGGGGTTAGAACTGGGCTCAGATTGACTACAACGCAAGCAAATGCATCTCCAACTGATGACCTTAGACAAATAAAATGAGAATGGGACGCAAAATGTGACACTCTGCTTCTTAAAATCTCAACAATGAAACATGTGGGTATCTTTCAAATTTGTTGAAAAACGCCGGTTTACAAATTTCTCAGAATAAAGACGGCATGAAAAATAAAACAATAACTATTTTTATCAGAACTGACACTTACATTGAGTATAAATCACTTTTTGACAACAAATTTGCCGGTCCTTAAGGCCGAGCCACGCCGCGTGTTGTCTTTGTATCTCTCCCAAACTTTACTTCTAACTGAATCTTTACATTCTGCTCACCACACTACATATTTTCTATAACATAAGACGAAAAACGAAAAAACATTACAAATTTGACAAAAAAATTGGACTAACCTTAAACCAAGTGCCTTTGACAGTGGCTCCAGCGAGAGTAATGTAATTATCTTTTCATACTAATATCTTGGACCATTTTACCTATGTAGGGTCATACGTCGCCATGTTACCAATTCCACGGTAACTTAAACATCATAATTTGTAACCACATATAATGTAAAACAACCGTAAATTTATATCATTTAAAGGGTTTCGACCCATATATTTTGGTGGCTCATAGCATGTATACCTCGTTTACACTGATGATAGATTTAACAATCCGAAAACGTTTTGTAATATATTTGTGATCGCCCTTTTGGGCATTTTATTATATACCTTTTATAAAGGATTTGAAATAATTTTAAAAAAAAAACGAAATGTATTTATTTTTTAATGCTAAAAGTTTTATTTCCGTTCAACTAAGCAGTAATTAATCCAAGTGGAAACTGCCCAGATCTAAATCGAATCACATGGATAAATGCAATAAAGTGGAATATGCAGAATCTATTTTATTTAAATGTCAATGAAATTACTCAATCTAATGGAAACGAATTGGTATCAAGTTTGGAAGCACAAAACTATTTTGTAACATTGCAGCTCTAACTAAATTTATGTCTTTTGTTTCAGACGCACCGATAGAGAGAACCGAGTGGTCTCGGAATCCTTCCTGAAAGGATGACGACAGAAGATAACGGCAATATAATGGCTGGACTATTGAAACCTACTTCAAGTAGCACTGAGGATCTTAGCGAGTACACTGATGCCGATGAGAGTATTTCCGCACCTACCGAAATACTTGCAGAGGTAAGCAAAAAGAATTAATTTGTACTGGACATTGCATTTTTTCAGATAAATGCTAAAAAGTTGTCAGCTTATCATTTTTTTTTTATTAGCTACTGCAAAACTCGTTTTAGTATTGCAAATTGTAGGAAATAAAATATCATTACAAATAAATCATTTTAATCACATGCGTAGAATATACCGGATGGGCTAGTTTTCTGAGAATAATTTGGAGCAATAAAAAAAATTTAATTTAACATTATTGTCAACATAAAAATATATTAATGTAGATGAAACTAAAACAAACTGTATTCGTGAGGATCTAATGGCGTATATCACATTTTACAATTTTTGTCATAAATCTTCCGAAAATCTATTTGATTTTGATTAGTTCCTTCCCTTAACCAGTAAATAGCATAGAAAATATTGACGGAATAAAAAATTTATTTTTGATTTTATAGTATACTTCAGACTAAAAAAACCATTAATCATATTTGGTAATCGTGGAAGTCAATCAATTGTATCATCTGCCAATGCAGTAATCAAAGTTTTCATTTAGAATGTGTTTCATAATGCATAACACCTTGACGCATATTTAAATAATTTATAAAATTAACAATACCGTTAAAGAAAGACCCGAATAGCTCATGATAGAAGTATTTATCTAGATCTATTACCAACAAAAAATTCGTAGTTCAAATTGAACATACTTGTGTCTGTTCACTTGCAGCATTTGCATTTAAAAATAGCTTCGTTGCTCTAAAGCAGCATTTTTGAAACTGTTAAATGCGGAATCTTATGGCTTCGTAAAACGTATTAAAAGTTTCGTGGTAAAGAACAAATTTAGTTTAAAATATCTTATAGTTGAAAGGAAAAACTTAAAAGTTACTTAACTGTTTTATTTTCTGAATTTTAAAATTTTCGGTCCAGTGTTAGACTACCTACGTCCCAATTCTGACCAATACAATAACGCTTCCAGCATGCTAAGCCGTCAGTCATCAAGGTCGCAGATACTAGGGCAGTTTGGGCAAGTTAGTATATGCCCCATGTTGTGTATGGCGTCCCATTCGTATTTATTATCAGTGTTGTGTCCAAGGTCCCACTATATTTGATTTGGTTTTAGTGGTGCGACCCCGATTCTTATTCAGTTCAGTGTTTTCCGTAATATCCATTTAGAGCACCACTGTACATCTCCTAGATGAGTGGATAGTTTGCAGGTGGACCGTCCATCGTCATATCCAAGAATTTGCTACGAGATTTTAATCTTTTAAATCTGCATTCAACTCCACAGAGAAGATGGCGTTCATGAATTGTTTGCTTGGTCCGTTCCATAAATTCGCGAGCTATTCTGTAGCCATTGGGGCTAGCAAAGCAGTCGACTTTACGAAGTTTTTCTACTGGAGCTGGCTTCATATAGCCTCCATACTTGTTAGTCTGCATGTTTTATTTAGAATGACGTCAACTTTCCTGGCTTACATCTGCCGCAGAATAGCAGAGAGCGAGGGCAGAAATTCTCAAAACGGTCTGGCTGGTCCGCCACCTGCTATTGGCGAGTTTTCTAAAGATACTGTCACTTTATGTCATGTTTTCTAGCATTGGCGTTTATATGTTCGCGACCTGTCTGGCGTGACACCCAAGTAGATTGGTTTCTCGGTATATTCTAGAATGACAACATCCTATCGGACTTACAGCCCCCCATTTACTTGGCGGCTGTGGAGATGGAAGAAACATGTCTTAGCTAGATGCGGTTTGAGTGAATTTTTTTCTAGTAGTTCAGCATGGTCCCGAAGTTATTTCCTAGGCGATTATGGCCAGGTCTTTGGTATAAAGAAATGCTCCATATACTCTGATGTTGATTGGTTGTTCGTGTATATATTGAAAAGATTGTGAGCCAAAACGCTTTCCGGCGCCAAGATATTAGTATGTTTCTTCTATTAGCTCTTCTTTCGCTCCAGTTTGTTATACACATAGAATTGTCTATTTTGTAATATAAACTTAATAATTTTTACTTGATGGTATTCTTAAAGCGTGTTATAGTTTTGTCAATATCCTTCTGTAATTCACTATATCGTATTTGGGGCTTAGATCGGCTAGTGCAATTTCTGTTATTTGTTTATTTTCGTATCCCTTTTCTATGTACTCTGTAAGATTGAGAATTTGGTCAGTGTATGATTTACCTGCTTTTTGTGGTATGACCTTTTGGTCGTCTAGATTTTCTGTGCGATTTAGGAGACACCGTTCATATACCTTAAAGATATAGTATGGAAGAGAGACTAATTAGTAATTTTGGGTGAGTCTGGGTCCTTTTCCGGCTTTAAAAGCGCTATTTGTATTTCCTTCATATTTTTGGGATTCTTCAGTTATGCCCTTACTTACTAAGCAGCTCTAACATCCAGATCCAATTCTTAGCAACTGGGTTTAAGTTTTTTATTTGTTTCATACAGATATCGTCAACTCCCGTTGCCTTTCTCTCATTATGTGGATGTCTTGGTTCAGTTCTTTAATTGTTAAAGATATCTCGAGGCAATTTCTTTAGAATTGTGGCTTTCTAGATATTTTGTGGTCTTAAGCTGGCTTCCCGTTTAATAGGAGCTAGTGAGCTACTTAATCTGGCGTTACTTTATGGAGTTGCCTGGTCTTAGTAGGGTCACAGCTGAGCTTGTTAATAAGGTTCCATTCCATCCTAGTTCTATGTGTCATATCCATTTTATCCAAACTGTCAATCTACTTTGTTTGTCTATTTATTTTGCTAAGTATTTTATTAAGCTCTGTTTCATGTGTAGTTGTTTCTTTGTTGAATGAGTTTTGACTGTATATTCTTTGACTCCTGACTGTATATTCTTTGACTGTATAGTTTTTGACTACTTGGAAAAGCCCGATATGAAATACTGTCTGCAACCTCTGGGTATGTGTCGCCTTTATATTCTCTTGATTGTTTCCACAAAAATGTAATTCTCTGAGATAGCACTTACGTTATTGATGGCAATTTCTATTGCCTTTGCGTATCCATTTGGCATTTTTAAAGTTAAATCTTCTGAAATTTTTGAAGGAAGGAAATTTTTGTTGTTATTTTTGTTGCATTCCTATAAGTTTCTGATAGGTATTTGAGATTGTTTCATAGACCTTTTTGATGCAGAAGTCCTGCATTTTGGAGCTTTTAGAGCAATCGTCTGTGGCGTACCGTGGCTAATAAAATTCTTCACCACAATAATTGTTGTCTGATTTTCGAAATTATGGGTCTTCGAGAAGCTAAACGTTTCTCCTGGCGTTTTGTCAATTGATGTTACTGTAATCTCGTCAGTTTTGATGGTTAGCACTTCAATGTCATTTTGCTTTATTGTGTTTACCAATAGCACTTCACCATATTTAAGTGTTTCCTGGAAATATAAAATGTCCCAGTTCTTGGTTCTGCTGAATTCGGTATGAGTGTTATGCTTGTTGTCTTTGTCACTCGATATTTAGGCTAATGATTGTCAAAGATGGCTCTGAAAATGGCCTTTTGGGTTCGTTTATTAGTTGATTGTTGATTGCTTTACGTTTTGTAATTTTTTGGCGGTTGCACTTGAAATTTATTTTTTTTTGCTAAGTTATTTGTATTACGGGATACCAACACTTTTTTACACTCTAATGAAAATCAATTTAAAAATATTTAACTGTAGTAATGACTCATTTTATTTTACTTTATTTTAATAGCTAATTTTAATAGGCCAAACCCCATAGTATACAAACTAAATGACATTTCATTTAAACATTAATTACTACATACGATATTTTTAAAATTTTATCAAAAAACAAACAACGAATATTATTTATTCATTAAGGAAATTTATTTTTTCTTCAAACGTCAAATAATGATGACTTTACTTTTCTAACTTGATCCTGTCAACGTTTGATGTCTCCGCCGGCAGCAGTTTTTTTTCCATTTCTTTACGCAGAGAGAAAAATGTTGTCATGGCAACAATATGAAACATGTCACAAAGCAACAATACAAATGTTATTAACAACAATTAAACATCATTTTTATTTATAGTAATATTAAAAGTACAATTAGTTAATGAGGCATTTTCAAAATTGAAACCGTGCAAAAATGTTCCCGACTCTTGATACGCATTGGTAATTGTTGATGATACTGATGGTCGAGAACAACTTTCAGCAATCATTCCCGATGTTGGCGAATCATGAGGGTTTAAAATTTTTTGAGCATTATCGTTCTTATTTCTTATTGAATTCTCTATATAGGTATCCTTCGGCAACCGTGCTTGATATCCAGGCCCCATGTCGTTTGAGGCATTCTAGATTTCCGCCTCCATCAATTAAAAGTGTTGCTGAAGTTCGTCGTAAAGAGTGACCCGTGTATGCGCTTGCATCGTTTAAATTTAAATAACTAGCTACTTTTTGGGCTACTGCACTGATCGAATGTATTCCCATGACGCTTCGGTAACACTTTCCATTTTGGTACTTAATAAAAAATCGGTTTTCTGTGAAATTTTAAGGCCGCATTGATGCATACTTTTTATACAGTTTAATGTAGTTTTGACCAATTATCGTAAAAGATTTAATTTGTCGTGTGTTACTCTCTGGGATTTTGATAATTATTACATTTTCTTTATCCTCAATGTCCACAGTCTTCATTTTTACCATTTTGTCGCATCGACAGGCACCGGCAACCCCAATTAACAAAACAATCTGAAATATTTTTATAATTTAGTAGAGTATACTACATGCTTTGCAATATAATTTTTTTTACCTTTAATCCTAAATACAACTTATCTGGCACTTCAAACAAAAATTTATCAAACTCGTCTTTAGTGAAAACTTTAGACTTCTTTGCAGTATATCCTTCGCTTGTTTTTTTTTCAGAAAGGCACGTAACTTTAAAAATTTGCTTATTTGCCAAATTTTTTTTAATAACTAACTCGGATTTTATTATAGAGTATCATGACCACATTGTAGAAGATTTCCCTTTATTTTCATTTTCCATTATATTAAAATATGCCAGTAAAACGTCTTCGGTAACTTGCCGTACTCCTCTTGTATCGCACCACTCTTGGAAGTGCTTATACGCTAACCGATACTTTATTCCGGACTTGGAGGGCCCCAAACGTGCTACTGCATCATTAGCCGCGGACTCAATTTCGTTTAGGTTTTCCATTTTTGCACTAAATTTGCGCTTGCGGTTGCAACAACAATAAGCTGTCTTTAATAATTGCAAACAACTGTCAAACAACTGTAAATAGGGAGACGCAAATCCCACCGACGACTTAATTATTTTAATTTCTAACATCTAGACGACTTTGATAGTTGTCACAGTTAATTTCGAGTAAAAATAGTGCATGAATTGTGCTATTTGTGGTTGAAAATTGCTACGTTTGAAGAAAAAATAGTATACTTTATTCGGCAAAGAAGCGACTTTTCTTGACTTGCCCTCTATTACGTGCCTCATTTCGTTCGGCGCGTAATATCGGGCGCGTCAAGAAAAGTCATGCTTCTCCGCCTCATAAAGTAATATACTATTACTAATATTAGTTAATAAAATGGAGTGATTTATTATCAAAAACAATCTCAATATTTCACACGAAAGTCATATCATATGCAGCCCATGCGTCCAAATGTTTTTTTCAGTTTTTAATGCTCGTAGCATGTTTAGATACATCAGAAAACTTATGGTTTATAAAATTGTTTCATTTATTTCAGTTTCTTTCTGCTGTGATGCTCAAGGACTACGAAACTGCACTGAAATATTGTAAAATAAGTGAGTATGCAATAGTTAATTAAATTTTTTTGTTTTATTTTCTAAATATCACTATTTTTTGTTTTCTTACTAAGTTGGTTCTTGTTCATGTGTCCATTGCTGCACGGAATAACTGCTTTACTTCGTGTCCGGTCGGAATTCGTATGTTTCGTAACCACAAGAATTTTTAAGTCAGATATGAAGAGAATGCAATGAGACATACTAGGAATGAATGAAATAAGATTGTTAGGAAAAGGTACTATGCTGATAAATACCAAGAACGTATTCTACTACAGGCAATGATAATACTGCACAGTGTGGGGTTGGAATGCTGCTCACAGCTAAAATAAACCAACGTATTAAAACAGTTTCACGTTAACCGCGTGCAGATATACGCCTCCACAACCAAAACTACGGAAGAAGAGTTAGAAGAGTTTAATACTTCTATTGGAAAGGCTCAAATAGTCAACATGTTTGTGGGAGTCTGAAACTGGAAATTCAGACACGAAAAAGTGGATGATTGGCGAGCCCATACAGATTGGGCATCAGAAATTAAGAAGACTAAGGTTTGTTAAATACACTTGGTTTAAGCTGCATAAACGACTACTATAGGAGAGGTTTCTTAAAGATAAAGGTTACATTATAACAAACCAAATCGATAATATTGCAGTAAATAGCAGATTCAGTAATAGCTTCCTAAGCTTAAAAGCCTGTCCTAGATGCGACATTAACTCCTCTACTGTCAATATAGGAAGACACATCTTCCCATATTGTCATACGCGTGAAAAGTGCCAAAATCGACAGAACTGTGATTAATAGCTCCAGATACATAGACGACACGGTGGTACTCGCTGAATTGGAAGAATACTAATGAATATAATGTAAGAATTGAGTGTCAGAATGGGACTAGAGATAAACTCATCAAAACCAAAACTCTAGTTTTTGACCATGGAACCTAAATTTAAAACAGCGCAAAAATAATTGTCGACAACTACATTTTTCTATGAAGAGAAATAAACACTCAGCTGGACCACTCAAAAGAGATTGGTAGATCATGGGCTTAATACCCTTCTTCTTCTTCTACGGCACTACAGCCCAAAATGAACCTTGGCCTCCTTTATTTTTTGCCTCCACCCTTGTCTGTCTGTGGCTGCTCTTCTCCATACACGGACTCCTAAAAGTGCTTGTGCGTCGCTGCTTACTGTGTCTTCCCAGCGCTTTCTTGGCTTTCCAACTGGTCTCTTTCCCTGCATTCTGGCGTTCAGTGCTCGTTTTGGTAGCCTATCCTCTCCCATTCGTATCACATGTCCGGCCCATTGCAATCTTTGTATTCTAATGAAGTTTGACAGGGGTGTTTCCTTATACAGTTGATAGAGCTCGTTGTTATATTGAATTCTGAAGATTCCGTTTTCCCTCACAGGTCCTAGTATTCTCCTCAGTACTTTTCTTTCGAATGTGTCGAGTTTGTTTTTGGATGTTTCTTTCAGGACCCATGCTTCGCTGCCATAACATGCTATTGGCCGAATTAAAGTTTTATATATTCTCATCTTTGTATTTCGGTGGACACTTTTAGACCGAAATATATGGGAGAGGGCAAAATAAGCTTTGTTTGCCTGCGTTATCCTTTTTCGTATTTCTCCATCCTTTGCTCCATCGGCATATATTTCTACTCCCAGGTATGTAAACTTTCCAACCGTTTCAATGTCATCTTCATGTATAATGTTTTGTGGGATTATATTTCTTCTCGTCTGTACCATTATTTTTGTTTTTTCTGTGTTAATTTCCAGACCTAGCCTTTTCGTTTGTGTTTTTAACTCTGCGTATGCTTCCTGTGCTCCTGTTGATGTTCTACTCATAATATTAATATCATCGGCGTAGGCAGCCAGTTGAACCGTTTTATTGGTCAGTAGGTTTTCTCGTCCAGTTTGCATTTGCCTGACCGCATACCCCAGTGCCAGGTTAAACAATGTTGGTGCCAGCCCATCTCCCTGCTTTAGTCCCTGCGAGATTTTGAAAAAGTCTGTCCGATTGTTTTGTATTCGTACACATGCCTGAGTTTCATCCATTGTGGCTTTAATGAGTCTAATTAGCTTATGTGGTATTGCTAATTCTGCCAATATATAGTATAGTCTGTCCCTTTTGACTAAATCGTATGCCTGTTTGAAGTCTACAAACACGTTGTGAACATCAATGTCGTGTTCCCACGATTTGCTCAAGACCTACTTGACTGTAAATATTTGATCCATTGTCGATCTTCCCCGTCTGAAGCCCGTCTGATATTCTCCAATAATATTTTCTGCTAGTGGTTGGAGTCGCTGGTTTATAATATACGTGAGGACTTTATACGCTGTACATAGTGGAGAAATTCCACGGTAGTTTTTGCATTGGAGTTTGTCTCCTTTTTTATAGATTGGACATACTATACTTTTCTTCCATTCGTCGGGTATTTTCTCTTCTTGCCATATTTCTTTGATAAGCGCGTGGATATGACTTGATAGGTGGTTGCCACCTACCTTATACAGTTCTGCTGGAATCTCGTCAACTCCCGGGGCTTTATTGTTTTTCTGGGCCTTAATAGCTTCGAGAACTTCCCCTATGGTTGGAGCTTCTACTTCAACTTCGTTCTCTTCTACATGGTTTGTACCCATTTTATCTTCCATATCTACTTGTGTTCCAAGTAGGGTCTGAAAATAATGCTTTCAGGTTTCTGTGACTTTCTGTTGGTCACTGATTATTTGCCCACTTTCATCTTTGCATAGGCTTGTTTGAGGTTTATATCCACTTTTTATCTTTTTTAGGTATTCGTATGCTCCTCTAATTTCGTTTTTTTTTTAATTTTGTTCCATTTCTTCTATTTGTCCATTTTCATAAGCTCTCTTTTTGTTTCTGCATATCTTGTCTGCTTTCCGTCTTGCGACTTCAAATGATGTTCGTCTTTCCCGTGTTCTTCTTGTTATGTACATTTTGTGCGCTTCGTTTCTTTCTTCTATCGCTTGCCTGCACTCGTCATCAAACCATGTTCCTCTTCTCTTCTTTTTCTTGTTTCCCACGGTGGACGCTGCTGCTGTCAGCACTGCTGTTTTGATATTATTCCATTTGCTCTCTATGGAGTGCAGTTCTTGTGTCCTTAGCTCATTTGTGACTTCTTGCTCGAACTTCTCTCTACATTCCTGAGTCTTGAGTTTTTCCAGGTCTGGTTTGTTTGTTCTTTGTTGTCTTTCGTTTCTTTCTCTGTTAACTCTGCACCTAAATTTGGTTTGCAGTAAAAGATGGTCTGATCCACAGCATGCTCCTCGTCGTGTTCTCACATCAGAGATACTACTGGCTGCCCTTTTGTCTATCATCACATGGTCAATTTGATTGGTTGTGGTTCCATCTGGTGAGATCCACGTCATTTTGTGTATGTCTTTATGTGGGAAGCATGTGGAGCTTATAACCATGTTTTTACTGGTGGCAAAATTTATCAAAAACTCCCCATTCTCGCTTGTGTTTCATTGTGCAGTGAGTGTTTTCCTGTTGTGCCATAGAACTGCGGTTCCTTGCCTATTTTGGCATTCATATCACCCATTATAACCTTAATGTCATTTTTTGGCGCGTTGTCATATACTATCTCCAGCTGTTGGTAGAAGCTTTCCTTTGTATGTTGCTCTTGTTCATCTGTTGGGTAGTAGATGTTTATCATAGTAAGGTTGAAGAAGTGGGTGCGAATTCTTAGTTTGCATATCCTTTCATTCACTGCCTGGAAGTCTATGATTTTTGACTTAAAATCATTATCTACCACAAATGCAACTCCACATTCTTCGATTCCTTGTTCTTTGCCACTATATAGAATTGTGTGCGTTTTGGTGTCCCTGACACCTTTCCCCAGCCATCTTGTCTCCTGAAGAGCAGTGATCATAAGATTATATCTTTTTAGTTCTTGTAGAAGTGCAGTTTGAGCTCCTAGTCTATTTAGCGTCCTCACATTCCAACTTCCAAATGCATAGTCCATGTTTCGTAGCTTTAGTCGTTTCCGAAAGTTCCCCTTGTTCTGAGGCAAATGTTTAGGTTTCATAACAGTGTGTTTTTCCGGGAGTGGGTTGTTAGCCCACTGCCCAACCTTCCTCCTTTACCCGGGCTTAGGACCGGCAATGGTGACTCCTGAGCTATTCAATCCACCCATTAGTCACCACAGGCGGAGTTGCTTAATACCCTTAAAGATTCTAAACTACAGTCTAAACTTTTCCGAAGAGGTGAAATTTCTTGGCATTACCATTGTCAGGAAGTTAACATGGAACTCACACTTAGATGGTAGAGCTAAAAGAGCACATTTCCTGTGAGCAGTGTCGACGAACGCTGGGACGCTCCAGGCAGCTTTCGCCCAAGTAGATCGCCTGAGTCTATATTGCAGTTATTAGGTCAGTGCTAACTTACAGAGCTATTGCTTGGATACCAAAAGTGCTACAGGCAACAGCGATTAACAAACTAAACGATATTCAGCGGATAGCTTGCGTAAATGTAACAGCTGCTAAGGAAACAACATCAACTGATGCAATGGAGAGGTTGGAGCCACCTTTTAAACATATATGTCTAGGACAGGGGTGGCCAATTTTTAAGTCGAGTGCCAATATGAGAACAAAAAAAATTTGGCGTGCCACTAAAATTTTTCGACATACTAATATGGATAATATATATTAATAATATACGGTACAATACGTATTTCTTATGTAAATTCCACATTTTTCCGTTTAGTCAAGATACTGGAGGTTTAAAAAATAACGTAATAAGTAAAACATAACAACAAACTTACTTTATTGTTAATAAAACTAAAATAAAAACGTTAAACAAAAAAACTTAAATATTTTCTTATTATCTAAAATTCAAATAATTAAACAGTTACTTATTTAATGTGGTATTTGAACTTGTATTTTTTTAATTAATTCATCTATATTGGGATTAATTTCGGAACTAGCCAACAGAATTAGATTTTTTAAATGCATGTCAGTTAATCGTGACCGATATTTTGATTCTATGTTCATAATAGAGAACATTTGCTCACAAACGTACGTTGAACCAAATCTACAACAATATCTCAGAGCTAACTCGTGTAAATTAGGAAAATTGTTTGCTGGTACAAATTTCCAAAATTCAATATAATTGGGATTAGTAACAGTTGAAATAATTTCCCTATATTTGGTTTTTAGTATAGTGTGGTTCTGTAAATCAATAATTTCGAGCTGTATTTCAGCTGAGTAACAATTGATATCTTGCAGAGAAATAGAAAAAGGATTTATGAAAAGGTCAACATTCGTTTTGTCCTTTTGAAAATCTTCAAACCGGGTATTGAATGAACCTAGCAAAATAGATATAAGGTTTTTAAATCTGTCATAATTTGGAGTTCTACTGACCTTGTTGGCTAATTCCTGCATTAATGTGAAATGTGTCAATCTCTGTTCTCCAAAATCGTTACAAAAAAGCATAAGTTTATTCACAAAAGATGATATATGACCAACTAGAGTAGGAAAAATACAATTTTTTCCCTGTAATCTTAAATTTAATAGATTTAAATGTCTCATAATATCAGTGAGAAAAGCTAAATCCCAAAGCCAATCTTCATCATTAAGTAACGAGCACTCACTGGGTAGTTCATTGTTTTCTTGCAAATATTTTAAGACGTACTCCTTCAAGTTCCAAAACCTTTCGAGTGCATTTCCTTTGGAGAGCCAGCGCACACTGCAATGGAGAAGTAACTCTCCATCTTGCTCCGTTTCTTCTGCGAACAGTTCTCGAAATTGTCGTCGATTCAATACCCGAGCTCGTATTTTGTTAATGCAGCGTGTTACAGGGTCAACAACATCTGTTGAACAGTCAACAACTATCTAATTTTGACCATTCAACTTTGTTGACTTCGATTACGTTTTTAAGCTGTTGAAAAATGTCCTCTCCTGTTGTTGTGACTAGTTGGCGCAAATCCAAAAGCTCTTCGGCATTTTCAAAATTATCATTGGTATAACGGACAAAAATGCTTAACTGCGCATTTTCTGTGTTGTCACAACTTTCATCCAACGCTAAAGAAAAGAATTTGCAGGATTATAATCCACTTATAATTTGGGAAACAACATCCTGGTCCATATCATCTATACGGCGCATGACTGTATTTCGGGATAATGCAAGATTATCGACCATATTTTTGATCTTTACATCTCCCACATTTTTAGCAAATATTGCCAGACTATTTTTAATTATCTCCTCTCCATCAGAGTAGGCTTTTTTCTTCCGGGCTAACAGCAGAGAAAGTTCATATGATGTTTTAACCATAGTTTCCATTTCATCACTTCTCTTCTGAAACAGTGACTGTTTCAGAAACAGACTGTGAAAGTCGGCTCGCAAATGTGAACCAATAGGATATTTGTTGCTGAAGTCCTTATGCAGTTGTTTATAATGTCGTTCCAGGTTAAATTTTTTCGGAACTGCTACAGACAATCCACATATCAAACAAACAGGCTTTGAAGTATTACGATTAGTAAATAAAAATTGTTCTTCCCAAGCAGGTTGAAAATCGCGAATTGCAATATCATCTTCGTATTTTCGTTTTGAAGTCGAAGGCTTACTCGTGGAGATATCGAACAAATACTTTTAAAATTTTAAAAAAACAATGCGCGATGACAAAATGTGCACATACAACGGGGCAGTTTAAAATAAACTAAGCAAGGGTAAAGCAGTCCTATTGCACATTACGACAGCTAGGATCACGTGCACCAATCGCAGCAATATCGCTCGCCAGAGGATCCAATGATGCCGCATCTATCGTAACTTCTGTAAACCTACCAAGTTTCTTATTATTATTTTTTGTTTTTCAAGTTTTAGTTTTTTTGAAAGTTTGATCAGTTTGAAAGTGCTATCAGTGGCACGCTACGCGTGCCACTGATAGGACTCAATCGTGCCACAGAGTGCCACACTCTTTCGGCTGACCATCTAGGGTAAAAAAGAAAAGGAATCGACAGGAAAACAAGAATGTCATGGTTAAGAAACTTGTGTAAATGGTTTGACTGCACCTCCATCGAAATGTTCAGGGTAGCAGTATTAAAGATAAGATTACCTGTGATGATTGCTAACCTCCGTCGGGAGATGGCTGCATAAGAAGTTCATATTATTTTTTATTACTAATTTTTATTATTTTTCTGTTTCTAAAATATATATTTTGTATATAGTATTTCAACTGTATGTATGCAATAGTATTTCAACTTAATAGTTCGTTTACACTTTGTACCGCACATGTTTAAAGGAAAATGTGACTCGTCACGTAGCAATATTGAAAAGTACAGAAATTTTAGACTTCCATTGGTATACGTACTTTCAACATTGCATTTTAAATATATATGCCGTGTTATAGAAGTATTATATAGCGCACGCAATTTGGAGGAAGTATCTAGACGACCGATTCAACATTTCGATTTTGGAAGGCAAGAGACAGTGCAAAATTGTATGAACGTCGAAATACTGAAATGTTTTTAGGATTTTGTTTGCAATAAAGTTAAAATTGAAATTCCAGGAATAAGTTGGAAAAGATCGGAAACGAGGATGGTTGATACTGTATTGTAAAGTGGTATCGAGTAAGTGTGAACAGTATGATATTTTTTAAAAATTAAATAAGATAGAGGTCTTATTATTATACCAGATAATGACTAGTATAATTTATTTATTTTGTTTTCGAGATACTATGTAATACTGTAACACTATATGCCAGTGTAGTATAAAAATATTATGCTTGTTTGTAATTTTTAAATTTAATAATTTGTCAAGATGGATCAAATATCATTTATGCTAACTCGATATCGGTGCTGAGCTCGTGTGAAACTTGTGATGTAACGTTAATAATTAAGCATGTACTCTGCTTAAGGAACTGTTTGCAGTTCCAAGCTGTTACATATACTTAGCTTTGTTTTCGGAATATTCAACATTCAACCAATTATTAATTTCTCCATTTTTTAATTTTCTGAAGAAAAATTTATTTGATATATTTTCATAACCTGATTTATATAATCTGTGCAATAATTTGGTTTAATTAAATGCTTTCCAAAATAATTAGCCATTGTTAAATGCGCCCATCAAACGAGCATTAGTTAGTTTCACGTCTGCTACCGCTGATAATTAATTTTCTTGCAGTTCTACAGTACGAACCTAACAATAGTACAGCAAAGGAATTTTACCCGCTGATACTCGAAAAGCTCCAGTTGAGTAAGTATTGCATTTTACAGTTGATTACACTCTAAACAAACAAAACAAACAGCATATGAGCGAATACAAAAATCAATGTTTGTTTGAATATGAAAATATCAATAAATAAAAATAATCATATTCCAATTCTCTATCATATATTACTGCTTTTTGAATTATATAACTTTAATATATCTATAATTCCGAATAACATAGTCGGAATGCTAGGGTTTTTCCTTACCAGAGGTCTATTCATGGAAACAACCTTTCTATATTTAGTATGTAATTTGTACCATGAATAAGTTTAATATTAGAATGTTTTAACTAATAGATTACTGAATAAATGTTCCAAAAATGTCTAAGTATGCTGTGAAATGTACATCACAAAATATAAAGGGCTCGAAAATTGTACCATCTCTTAGTTTATTATTCATAACCTCTTCAAGATAAAATAAAGTTTATTTTATTCCTCTCAATTAAAACAATAATGTAGAAAGGATGTCTATACACTTAGGCGCCGCCCGTTCCATTGCTGTTTGTGTTACCTGAAATATTCTCTAAAATTAACGCACCATCTTAAATGCACCAAAGTTTTAAGCTATTTTTCTTCTGAACCGTTGTTAGTATTTCGATCATTTTATTTTACATCATAGGTCTATTTCTAAAGAATTGCTGGACCAGTTTTTTCTGGATAATTGTTAACGTTTTACCCATATATGGGATGTAAAAATAAAATTGTCATATTAATGTTAAAAAATAGCTTCATATTTTCTCAATATTTCCGTAAAAAAATCATCTCGATATCTCAGTTATAAAAGAAGAAAAGTATGTTTAACATAAAACGTGATTTCATTGAATTGAAATATCTCATTAATGGTATACCATGGATATTACCAAGTAGTTGGCTATGAGAAATCAAAAAATTTAACAGGGCAATTATTATTTTAGACATATTTTAATTCAATAAATTGTTTGCTGCTGCGCGTATGTTCGTTAGTTATCATGGACCGTATTTTAAGAAATTTGAGCTGCGATGAATGTGTGCAGACATTAAAAATTGAAATTTATGCGATACGAGGTGGATGTTACAAAATTTCACCTAAAGGAAACACACTGAAGGGCAACATCTCGTCCTAGGAAAGATTGAATTATTTAGAATATTTAGAACATACTAAACCTTATTCGGACTGATACCACCTTAAAGTTGGCTGGTATCGTCCCTAGGGTGTAAATGTAGTCCTTGTTTCGAGTAGGATTTAGTATGTTTCCTTAAGTGAACTCTTTTAACATCGATCATATGTCATTTTTATTGACAATTTAAGAAAATTGTGTCAAATAATTGCTAAATGCCAATGATACTTCACTTACAACAAAATTTAAATTTTTACTCTTCTAGTCGTAAGTAATGAAATATTCACTTTGTTTACATAGAATAATCAGTCTTATAAATTTACAGTTTTCTTCTAAAGAAGTCACAAAATCGTGACGAAATATTGAGACATAAAACAACTAGAGTTTTAGTTCCTACAGACCGATTTCTGATACTATAAATCAATATTTAACAGAGTACGGTCGAAAACAATTAAAAAAAATGATATTATATATATATATATATATATATATATATATATATATATATATATATATATATATACATTGTGAGTAAGATTAAGATCTCACTGTAAATGAAATCAAGAGGATATCGGTCAAGTAGAAACAAAAAATGAGAAAACTATTTCAATCTTTTAATAGAAAACGTTTCGTGCAGTATTTCTGCACTTCTTCAGTTTTAATATTTGTAAGTCATATAAAAATGTCAAACAATGTCAAATGCATATGTTTAGCTGTTAACATAAAATACATTTAAAAACTACAATGAAATTACAGTAAAAACACATTCAGAGTTTTTCTTAAATTTATACTATATTAAAAAGTCACAAAAATGTCACAGTATGTTAACAAGAAAACAATATAATTTAATACAATACTTCCATTCTATGAGTGATGTACAATATATCGAAACATGAAGCCAGGAGAAAAAGTATCTTGTTTTAATTAGAGCTTAGTAAACAATTTAATTTTTTTATAATAAAAAAAAGGCTTGGAAAGTTAACTTTATTGTTAGAGACAACAAAGCAATTCAAAAAAGCAACTATTTTTGACAGATAGAGCTCAACTATTATGAAGAGAGAAAAACAAAAAATAATATGGCTTTCTATCTATGGAAATCAGACTTTGTACGAAAAATCAACTAGATAACAAAAATACTCATTTATGCAGGACAGAATAGAAAAGTCAATTTTTTTATAAATCTGGTTAAAGAGGAAGGTTTGAAATATAAGGTACCGATGACCATTGTTGGAGAACATAGAATTAGTGAATGTTAATGATATGTAATGTGATATGAATTTGTTTAACTCATCATGAGGTTCCCTTTTGAAAAATATTTTACATGGGATGTAATGTGTGAAAATTGCTGAAGTTCTCGTTGAAATGAATATAGGGATTGAGTTTAGAAGTATCAAAGTACAACCGATGGTAGCTACTTTTTTTTTCATAGAGGACAAAAAGCGAAAATTTAGGCCATGTCTTGATTGGATTTGGGTGTACCTAAGTTAAGTTAATAAAATATAACATTTAGCTAAAATGATCTTAAGGATTATTCGACAGCAAGGAGTGATAAATGATGCTGATATTATCGATGTCAGTATATCTGTTCATGGAGTTTTTTCCCATAATATGTGACACATTTCCAGGACGGATCTCTTATAGAAATTATTCTTAGTTCCTAGAGATTGAATATTCTCAAAGTCAATTCGGTGGTTAAGAGAGATAGAGTAGGGACTGAGAGCACAAGAGTTCTTGTTGCATCTGTTATCGCTTTTACGAGATATAATACGCCCTTTAAGGGATCTTTTCGTTTGGCCAATATACTTCAAATGACAGTCTTTGCATGGAATGTTATATACTACATTTGATTTCTCTCAAATATCTAAAGATATTTTGGTACGTGAAAAGAGATTTCCAACTGTTTTACAATTTTGGATGCCTATTTTAGTAGATAGGGGTTTAAAGAATTTATAACCTGTGGATAACCCGTTTCTCTATATCCTGTGGAAAATAGGGTAATAAGCAATATCTAGAAGACTCAGATGTGGATTCCTCATCAAGGTGGAGTTCATTGTTGTCAAGTATGTTATTATGAAAATCTCCCACATTGGTATAAGTCGGGTCAAGTAAGGACCTTGCAGTAGAAAAAAGATATCTATTAATAAGAAAAGTTGAATAAGAATTCTCAACTAATATATTTCTGATTAACTGAGTGACTCTGTATAAAGAATGTGACAAATTATGAGTTCTTAAGGATAATCTCTGTACGAGGTTGTGTTTGAATCATTTAGGATGAAAGGAATAATAATTAAGTAAGCGATTGCTAGCAACACTCTTTCTAAACGAGTTGGTTCTTAGGATGTTGTCATCAGCGAGAGAATCGTTAGCGTTCTTGTATATTGTACATCAACGATAGAATAGAAATATTGTATTATATTATATTGTTTTCTTATTCACATACAGCATACTATATATTTACATTTTTGTGACTTTAACAATAAGACATTTTTGTGACTTTTTAATGTTTGTATAAATTTAAAAAAAACTCTGAATGTATTTTTTACTGTAATTTCATTGTAGTTTTTAAATGTATTTTATAACACCTAAACATATGCATTTGACATTGTTTGACATCTTTTTATGACTTTACATTGTTTATTTTCACAGCGAGATTTTAATCTCACTCACATTGTGTATTTAAATTTAGACAGTCGTACTTCTTTTAATGTCTTTTTTAGGACGTTTTTTCCAAAACATCAGATTATATATATATATATATATATATATATATATATATATATATATATATATATATATATATATATATATATATGTATATATATATATATATATATATATATATATATATATATATATGTATATAGAGTGTATATAACGACGCTAAGAATACAATTCTTTGGTAGGTAACTATCGGGAAAGGGTTAAATCAAGGATCAGCTAGAGATGGTATAAGCCAGTTTGGTGTAGAACTTTATTCTAAATGTGAAATTTTCGGTGATATGCTGTCACCTTCATCAGCACCTGAATGGAAAACCTATTTAGTACAAGTGGTGGAAATCAACATTTAAAAACAAACATTGAAAATGTTCAGTTGGTCCTAGTGGTGAAGAACACTGTCACAAACATCTTAAAAATATTAAAAAATACATTTAAATTTTTGAATAAAAACATTACAACACAAAAGGGTATTTTTTCAAATACAAACACAACAAAAAAATCTAAAATTTAAAAACACACAAAAACCGCAACGTCATGTTAAAGGTAGAAAAGAAGAATTATTCTTGTTTTTTGCTGACAATATTTCTGATTTCTGTCAATATCCCGGTGTCATATGTAACGAGGTTATAATTTTTACATTTGCACCTCATGGAAGCTAGAAGGAATCCAAGGAACCAAAATCAGCAGGGAAATGAAGTATTTTCTCAAGTGCAGGTAGGTAATTTGTGCATGTTATGATAAGTTCCCTACATTCTCCAATCTGTTACATCTTGTCAAGTCCTGCTGAAGCAAAAAGGAATAAATACAACTTAAGTTTTCAACATCTTTCTTACAGTTCATAGAAGAGCTGCAGTTATGGATATAGCACATTTCTATGATGTTTTTTTTTTAAATTGGTTCTTAAATGGCTTAAATTGGCCTTAAATAATTCTTCGTTTCTACCTTTAACATGAAGTTGCGGTTTTTGTGTGTTTTTAAATTTTAGATTTTTTTGTTGTGTTTGTATTTGAAAAAATACCCTTTTGTGTTGTAATGTTTTTATTCAAAATTTTAAATGTATTTTTTAATATTTTTACCATGTTTGTGACAGTGTTCTTCGCCACTAGGACTAACTGAACATTTTCAATGTAGGTTTTTAAATGTTGATTTCCACCACTATAATAAAATAGGTT